GAACAACCCCAGTTAACGATCGACTCTTAAATGAAACCAGAGAGCGCTGACAGAGAGGAGAAGGTAGAAATGACTCAGCCTGTAACTGAAAATATGGATGGAGGACAACAGAGCTGCTTCATGGAAGAAGAACCTCAGCTTAGCCTGTTAGCTTTAGCATTAGCCCAGACGCTATGACCATATACATATGTATTAGCTCAGCTCTACACATTTTCCTCTCATCATTGAGGTCCGACATCCACATGACAGAGAGGGGAACACAAAAATGACTCAGCCTGCAACTGAAAATATGGATGAAGACCTCAGTTTAGCTTGTTTGTCACGCTAGTGCTGAGCTAATACATATATAAGGCAATATAGCATCAGCGCTAGCGCGAAGGCTAACAGGCTAAGCTGAGGTTCTTCTTCCATGAAGCAGCTCTGTTGTGCTTCATCCATATTTTCAGTTACAGGCCGAGTCATTTCTAACTTCTCCTCTCTGTAAACATAAATGCAACAAAATAAACTTTAAAAGGTATAACAATTGACCTACCCCTGAGCTGTTGGCTTGAAGCAATTTAGTTGGATAGCACAGTCTGAAAATAAGCTACTTTAAAGTTGGCATCAACCATAAACTAAATCTGCCATAAAGCATAGTAGCTACTCACTAGAAACTCATCAGTGAGAAAAACTTATTAGTTGTACTTTTAGTAATATTTCTGTATTTATTTCAGATTTAGTCAGTCGTACACTTAGTCCTTATTGTTTAAGTGGACGTGTTAAAACACGGTTTAGTCAAAGTTAAACATGAAACATCAAAGTTCATTACAACTGGCCCTTCGAGGGCCACCATAACGCTTATGTGGCCCTCGGTGAAAATGAGTTTGACACTCCTGATTTAAAGTATGATTTTTAGTTATTTTTTGTGTTGGTTAGGGGTTTTCCCCTAATCTCACAAATAACATTGCAACACCGTGAACCCAAAGACTCCCTCTTGTCCTGCATCCCAGTCTGAAAATCCTACCTGCAGTAGCACAAGCAGGCTGTCACACACACTGACTGTTAAAGGGCAAACCATTCATGTCACAAGACATTCAAGAACTAGCCTCAGCAAACTACCTTTACCCCTTTCTCTAATGATGGAAACAAAATGTTGCAACAGAGACCGGTGGGGGCAGAATTGCTAAAATTGTCGTCTTACTCTGGGGTTTATTGGCTGTCTACAAACTCATCTTCTTTTATATTTACATTTAAATGACTTAAGTGAAATAATGTGAAAAAAATTAAAAATGTTGCTAGGCTTCTTGAAGTCAAAACCAATATTTTTTAATATCCTAGGGCCCTGACAGACAGAACCTCTGCTTTAAAGCTACTTTGACACAACTGGATGGTTGAAGTGGCACAGTTCTAGTCTCTGAACATGACTGTTTGACCAATGGGCTGAAAGCCCACATCACTAATAGGATGCATGCCCTGGACTGAGTTTCTGTTACCATGGAAACTTGAGATTTAGGGGAACAGAGACGTGTGCACAAAACACCCACTTAAATGTAGTTCATTTTGAGTAAATACCACTTTTTAAATATAGGTATTTTTAATAATGTTACAGTGGGACAAGTTTGTCTACTGGGATTAAAAACAAATGTCACTGACAAGGAAGAATGGTAAAGATGTCTATGAAATAAAACTGAATTTGTACATTGTATTTTGTAAGGTTTTCAACTCAATTACCCAAAACTAGCAAGTCTCAGCAAAAAAATTACTTAATTAATTAATTTTAAAAAAACTTACCTGAACTTTAAAAAAAATGCAAATACAAACCAACAATTTTATTGCACAAATAATCTGTGTCCTTTAATTATAACATAAGTTACGTAGATAATTTCCCTGGTGAAACACACCGAACTAAACACATGATGTCAAATGAATTCAAAGCCACTTACTGAGTGTCTTGATTGTGGAAACATCATGTCAGGTCCTTTGTGTTTGTTGCTCCCAAACACGACAAACTGTGCGGTCAGATTGTTTATATTTTTCCCGTGTCGTTGGTCCTTTGTCCAAAGCTAACCCAGCCGTACAGGAGCTGTCCAGGGTTAGCAGGAGAAGTAGCTACCGGTAGCTAGCGGACACCCGCCCCCCCTCCACTCAAAAAAATAAATAAAAATAATTAACTTAAAGACGATTAGAAGTGGTGTACTTTCCGGGGTAAACGAGTCGTTGGGTTTTACGGCTGAAGTAAGATTATTCAGCTGTCTGTCAGCAGGAGATCACCATCGGTGCTGGCTCCTCTGCGGCTAAGCTAGCTAATTCTTCAAAAGCTGTCAGTCAAAAATGATTCATCGCCTGCTCAAACAGCGGCGGCGGCGGTTCAGAACCTGTAAATTAATAACGTTTTGTACACAGAGAGGCGTCCGGGTGGAGGCAGCAGGCAGGCGGGAGGGGGGACGCTGTTTTTCTCTCTCCCTCCTTCTTTTTAAAGATTTTCAGTTCGCCTTCTGACGAGGAACTATAAGAAGAAAAAAATGACGATACTGGAAAAAAAAAAAATGTCTGCGGATACGTTTAAGTTCGACCCTGTGTCGGTCAACACTGAAAACAAAAACAAACAAACAAACAAAAAAAAAAATGCCCGTGAAACATAAAATCGCCAAAACAGAAAATCGGCTCCTTAACAGCTGGAGTTTAAACTCTGTCCTCCTTAAATCGAGCAGCGCAGGATATCAGAGGATTTGTCAGGGGCGGTGAAGCCATAAAAAAGTCAGAACGGTCCTGGAGCTAGCTGCTGGTAGATGGACGGGATACCGCTGTGCCAAACGCTCCCCCCGCCGCCGAACACACAGACATAAAGCGGTTAGAAAGGCTGTGCAGCTCTACGCAGCGACGATCTTCGTCATCAACAGACTGATGTCTGAGCGAACAGCGCCTCTAGTGGACGGGCCTAGAAA